ATGAATAAGGTTTTTTAAATTTAATATTTTTAAAAACACTTACTGAAATTTGTTTAAATTGCAAACAACCCTTAAGCCCCCATCTTAGCTGTTTACTGTTGCTATAACAGAATACTTGAGATTGGGAAACTTATCAAGGGAAGAGGTCTACTTAACTTACAATTCCGGGGACTGGGAAGAAGGTCAAAGATCAGGTGACCACTTCCGGTCGGCGTCTGGCTAGGCTCTAGTGCTACGTCATAACATGGCGGAGAAGTGGAAGCGGAAGCGGAAGTGGGCACATGTGGCGACAACAAACACGAGAAGCGCCCTTGCTTATAACAAGCAACCCACTCTCATGCTAACTAAACTAAGCCAGTTCTAAGAAAGCAAGAACTCAGTCCCTTGAGGAAGGCATTAATCCCTCTAAACCATCAGTCCTCAACCTTTTTGGCACCAGGGACCCTTAAGTGGAAGACAGTTTTTCCATGGGAGGGGGGCGTGGGGCAGAGGAGCTCTGCAGCCTGATCCCTAACAGGCCCCGGGGGATTGGGACCGCATCTCTAAACAACTTAATCGTTTCCTACCTCCCAATACCGCCACACTGGGGACCAAGCCTCCGCATGAGTTTGGGTGGGCACAAACAATATTGGAGCCATGGCCCGCCCCTCTGCTTTAAGCTCAGCTCCTCAATCCCATTCCTCCTAAGGCGACTGCATGGAGACCATCGCCACCGGGACAGAAGAGCCAGAAAACCAGGCACTGTCTGAATGATCAGCACCCAAACTCACTAAAAATCCATGTAAGTAGTTATTTTGTTTCATAATGAAAATCTGGCCTTCAACTTCAGCTATTCTTTAAGACGCTAAAGCCAGTTTATGAACTAGTGGAACCTAACGCTGACAAACCACACACAGCCCGAGTTTGAGTTTTTGAACATGAAGGGAAAACTCTGGTCTGAGCTATCTGCACAGTCACATGTCACATGCTCTACACACATTGAAAAATGTCCATTTTGATGTATGTGAGATTGTCTAAAATCCAAATGAATTCACGTTTCATGCACTTAAAATAACAGCATCACCGTTTGACTTTTTGCGAGGCAGTCTTTCTGTGCGGAGTGCCCCTTTCCTTACTAAGCCCTTTGAGGCGGCAACTAAAAATCCATTATCGTGATTCTAACTTTTATTTAATTAAAGGTAAGCTAAAGTACCAGTTATCCCAGCTAGATAATCTAATGGAGTGTGCAATCAAGGGCCATCAGCTGGTCCCAGAGTTGCTGAGTGGAATAGCTGCCTGCCATGGGGGCTGGGCAGGATCACTTTGCATTTCCCAGTGAGGATGCCAAAGACAGAGCAGGGCAGCAGCTGTGGTTCTTCTGACATCAAGGGGCCACTTTGCACCTCTGGCCTTTCTCTTTTCTTTTTTGTGTGTATTCCCCAAACTCGATGGCAAGAGCTGTTTTTCATGTCTTAAGCCTCAAGACCACTCTGGGAGGAGGATGATGAAGGGAATGAGATTAATGAAGGGGAGAGGGGTCTTGTTGTCTACTCCCTTGATCAAGAAGAAATTGATGCTTACTCAATCTGTTCCTTATTCCAAGGGGTATCTGTGAAAACTGGGGGTTGGGACTTGGGACGGGTGGGGGTGAGAGGGATGAAGACATCCGGTAACCAGTAACCAATGGTTGGGTGTTCTAGCATGAAATGTGCGAGGTATTATTACTTCATTTACCTAATTCAAGGTAATTATTTTAATTAAAGGATTATTCTAAAAAATTAACCTTTTTTGAGATGTTGTGTGGTTATTTACCCACCCCTCCAAATCCCTCTTATACGCAGACTTGTGAATTTCATCTATTTTTGTAAACATGATTCCCCACAGAAAATTATTTTATGTCATTGATATATTACAGTATAATCTTATGCCTTCAGTAAAGATAGTTTATAGTTACCACTCCTTACATAACTAGCTGTGTACTTAATGGTTATTGCTGAATTACTCCTCAGCTTCTTCTAGATGAAGTGAAAATGCTTCTTTTAGCTTTTTTCATGGGCCTTTTCCCTAATTTTTCAGTAATCTTTGAAGATGTGCCTTGAAACCTCTTTTTAAAATCTCTATTCTCCTTTTTAAGTAGAGAAATCCATAAATTGTTTATGTTGTTGTAACAGTTTGAGAAATGCTTAGAAAATGAAAGAATTGCTTCAGGTTGTGTCAGTGCAGCCCACTCTTTGATGAATCTCTGTGTCATATGAAAATGGTGACTCAGGTTGTATTTTCTATTTTTAGATTCCAACCTTTTAAAATGGCATTTAGCAGCATATTCCCGGGATATCATAAGTGCAGAGTCAATGATAAATGAACATTTATAGTTGAGATTTGGGAGTTATTAATCAATGTACCTCCGTAGTATTGGCTCTTAAAAACTTAATGCAAGCATATTTAATTAGATTCCTACCACAGATCAATTTTTAAAAAGCTTACATTTCAAAACCAGGTATCTGCAATAACACCTTTTTGTTTGTTTTTTTTTTTTTTGTCCAGGAAAATATTTTATAGGAATAGGATTTGTCTTCTGTTATGCCTTTCAATTGAGTGATTTTTTGCTAATCCTTCTCGGGCACCTGGGTAAACTTATTTAGGTGATGAGCTTAAAATAACTTTCCATGGAAGAACCAAATTGAAAGTTGTTCAGGCTTTGAGGATGTCAGCAGAAACCAGATGAGAAGATATGATAGAAATACAAAGAAAAATTTTAGAGGAGTGACTTATATCTATATTTCTCTTGCTCAAGAAGATAAAAAATTTTGGAAATCTTGAATTATCAGGAGATACAAAAGGTAAAGCTTGAATTTTTCTGCCAAATTTTAGATTTTTTCCAGCTTTTGACGCTTGTGTGATACCCCACCGCCCCCCCCCCACTCCGGCTTTGAAGAAAGATGAAAAGATATTGATTTGCCAACAAAAAAGCTCAAAAGGTATTGATTCTGCCAACATGTTGGTAGAGACAAGGGTAGGCGTATGGGTCCTTTTCATCTCTAGTCCTACTTTACCTAATTTAGTTATAGGAATTCATTCATTTCAAATTGAGACATAATAGATATGTGGAAAAGTACAGAAAACATCTGGAAATGATTAATGTAAAAGTCCTTAGAAAACGTAAGTGCATCCTAACCATGTTGACTAATGTGACTAGATGTTATTTATTCAGTTAGGAAAAGAGAGTGACATATTCATGTATTTAGGACACTATAGGCCAGGCGTGGTGTGTTTTAGAGATCAGCATTTAGCCTGTGTATGAGCTCATGAAGTAAGGATTATATTTTTCATTTTATTGATAAGAAATCTGAGACATTAAAAAAAATTACATCTCCGGGATTTACTTCAAAATAATCCAGGAGCAGCGGAGAGAAATTCGAAACAAGATTGGCTATAAACTGCTAACTATTAAAGTTGGGTAAGAGGAACATGAGGGTTCATTACACTATTCTCTCTATTTATTTTTATGTATTTGAAATTTTCCAAGCATATAGTTTTTATTTATTTTTATTTTTGAGACAGAGTGTCACTCTGTTGCCCAGGCTAGAGTGCCTGGCATCAGCCTAGCTCACAGCAACCTCAAACTCCTGGGCCTGCCTCAGACTCCTGAGTAGCTGCACCACCACTATGACCAGCTAATTTTTAGTAGAGACAGGGTCTCGCTCTTGCTCAGGCTGGTCTCAAACTCCTGACCTCAAGCAATCCTCCCGTCTCAGCCTCCCAGAGTGCTAGGATTGCAGGTGTGAGCCACTGTGCCCAGCCAAATAAAAAGCTTTTAAAAAGTCACTAATAAGCATCAAGATTCAAACACAGACTTTGCCGATTTCAAATTCATTCTCTCTGGGACATGTGACACACATAATAATTTCTGAAAAACTGAAGAGTAATTTGCAAGCCAGATAATAAATCAGGAACTTAAGCTTTATTTAAAAAGTGACAGTTGCTTGTTTTATGACCTCAAACAGGACTGAATCTATATGAATCTTCGTTTTGATATTTATTAAATGAAGATATCCTTTGTTCTGTTGAACAAGTGTGAGTATAAAATAGATTTTTAAAAAATGTCCTAATGTTACTTCATTTAATTGTGTATTCTGAAAGGATTTATGTCTTTTTGTTTATAAGGAAGATTGTTCAATATTCTAAACATTTTGTATTAAATATTTACAGAGCTAGGTAAGAATGATGATTTTGTCCATGAGATACAGTAGACTTAGAGAATTTGTGAACTAAGCTTTAATAAGATTGAACTTTAGCCAGGGCAAGGAAAAACCTTTAACTGTAGCTTATGAGAACCACTTCAACTGGAATGACTTTTTGGCTCTATCTAACACAGTTCTTTCCATCTGTTTACTGAAAAGGTCACCTGTTTAATGAAAAGATTTCTTAAGAAATAGAATGCACCTTAACTACACCGTATTTATATTTCACAATGTAACGTTATTCCATTGAAGACATTATGCTAAATCAAAGAAACCAGAAACAAAAGGCTATATATGATATGATTCCATGTACTTGGCATTCCAAAGTGACAAGGTAGAGGGATAGAAAACCAATCGGTAGTTGCCAGAGACCAGGGGTGGGGGAGGAGATTGATGGCAAAGGGTCCCATGGGCATTGTTTGGCGTGATGGAACTATTCTTTATCTTCATTGTGGTGGTGGTTCACAGCCTTATGTTTGCCCAAATTCAACAGAACATAAAAAAGGATGAATTTACTGCACGTAAATTATATATGAATAAATCTGATTTTAAAAGCATATGTATGTAGATAGATATAGTTTTGAAAACATGCCTGTGTGTCAATGAGTGCACAGAGGCCATACACTCACCTGAATGTTGACAGGAAGCCCCAGTCCTCGGTCGTCAACCACAGTCACAGTCATGATGGTCTGAATCACCAAGGCAATGAAGGTGTTGATTCCAAACACCAGGGCATAGCGCTGCATGCTCAGATGAACTGCAATCTGAAATCTATCATTGCACACACGGAAAGAGTGTTAAAAGAACACATATGTGGGCTTCTAAATACAAAGCAGTGAATTGTGTTGTTTCCAAGGATTTGCTTTGCTGAGGAAGCCTAGGTTTCTGTTGACAGGTTTCTAAAAGCTCTTCTAGCAGAGATGGCCCAAGGAAATAAGGGTAAATGGGACAGTGAAATGTATTTTAACATTCCATGGGATGTGATATAGTATGCCAAGAATTGAAAACTAGCTAACCATTTCTTTTTAAAATTAAACCAAGTATTCCAAATACTCTGCAAGTAGAGAACATTGAACATTATTTGAGATAAATGTGGTTTAGCAGTCACTTTTAAAATTAGACATAAGTAGAAACAAGTCAATGTGATGAATTTTTATTATTTGAAGATTTGATCACTGGATCATTGATTGTCTAAATTAGCAATTTCAGAGTCTAAGTGGTGAATTTTTCTGTGGAAAACCCACAAATTATTTACTTTCACAGTTGATTCAATCTGGCAATTAATTCATTTAAAATAATTGTACTGGGTTTTGAAATTTAGCCAAGACTTATATATATATGCATTAGAGTTCTTCTATGTAATTTAGCTAAAACTAAATTAACTTGAAT